TGGCACGGCAATTTTAAAATGTGAACATATACCCATAAGAAGTCCAATCCTGTATTTACTCCTCACTGTGAAGAAGGCGGTCACTACCTTGTCATTAGGAAGCGAAGTGCAACACCCACTTCGACCACTACGCATTCTTTCGGTAATTGATTCTACGTTAGCGTGCATTATTTTAAGTTATTAACCTTTGCGCTCAAACTACGGCGAATTCTCTTCATGTTGTTATTGTTGCTGGGGTCCCTATGTGAAAATGAAAATGACAACCAAATGGAAAATTGTCTGCTTCATACGTGTAATTTTCATTCCCGACGTTCATCTAAATCGTCGTTTGGTCGTTGAAGTACAAACGTTGTACTTGTGACTGTTTGATTTTAACGTAGTTTATCAATCTTAGAATAAATAACATTGCAAATAAATAAATATCTTTATCACTTGAAGTGGTTCAGATTGGTTGTTCTCTTAAATATCATATTTGGGATAAAAAAGTAAATACTAACTTTCAATGGTAATATTTTCATAATTCCTTAATGAAAATAACAACCGCTTAGGAATATACAGGTACCTATATATAGATACCTAAATAACGGTAAATATACTAATTGAATGTCAACCAAAATTTAGATCATACTTCCCATGTTCGGAAACTAATGATACTATCAGTCGGAAATACAATTTTCAAAATTGAGAAGTTTCTATCTCACAGTTTAAAAAAATCGAATACGTAAAGTAGAATTTTGGGTACCAATTGGTATGCTTGGTAACGGAAATTTGTAAATAAAAAATATTCAGGATAAATAATCAACTAATGTAAAAATAAATCAAATTAACCAAAATCTTGATACAATTTGGTTCGATCAGGTGAAAACTTAGCCTTTGTTAAAAAAGACATGATAATGGTTTTACCAGGGCGTACATATACATGGATAAAAATAAGAAAGAGGTTCCAAATTGCCAATAGGTTACTTAATATGTTACATAACTTATGTATCACGAAAGTATATAGGTACTTATTATTAATTTGTCGCCGATTCTTTTGGATTATCAATTGTTAGGAAAATTGTTAAACAATTCGTAACGGTAGTAACAGCGTAGGCGATTCTTTTCATTGAGGAGGTGGAGGATAAAGAGACTTGGCATACAGCCGTGAGGAGGTGAATAAGAAGAGGAAAAATGGGGGGAAAAGAGCAGGAGGAGGGTGGCATAAAGGATCAAGCAGGCATCCGGTGCTAGGCACGTAGCTTTTTGTTAGTTAGCATTCGAGTCCTCAGCTTTTACGCTTGCAGCCTGTAGAATACGTACGTACTCGCAACGCATATTAACACGCACATCGGGCAACGCCACCTACGACATCACTTGTTGCTCATGCTTATCCTAGACGAGAGCTACATTTCCGGCCTCTTAAATATATGCCCAAAGAGAGCGTGCAATGGGACTAAAAGAAGAGTCCAAAAGGACTCCGCGAAAACACAGCTGATATTATCGAAGTCGAAATTCATGACTGGAAGATGTAAACCACTACCGAGAATACTAAGGGCATCTGCAACATAGGAAAGGCAACCCCTTTCTTCTTTCTTGCAATTAGGATACCACGTTGGTATCGACACACTATCTATTACAAATTAGTTGGAAATTTAAGTTTTTATAGCAATTAAATACTTTATGAAAAGAAAAAACTCTCTTTGAACCAAAGTAGATAGTACTTTTTATAAATAGCTTATACTCATTACTTGGTTTAAGAGAAATGATACTTAATGTACGCTATTGAGTAAGTAGGAACTTGTGTTTACTTGTTTCGTTTCCATTCAATCCATAATCATATATATCTCTAGCCATCTACCAGAAAAATGATAATTCCTTATCAAATTAACAATTATATATCTACGTTACACAAGTATTTTAGTTGTTTATCGGATATGTGAGGTCAATAGGATTTTTAGTGGATGCAATAAATCTTGTACGGATTATACTTTTATTAGAAATTTTCCTGGAATCGAATCGTTATTGAAAGCAGTAAAATTTACGATTTATCGGTAGTGATATAAAAAACATCAAGCATTCAAATAGGCATGTGGAAGTATTAATTTATTGGACAGTATAATGACAGTATGTAAGGGTGTCTCTATTAAGTGATTCGTATACTGAACACGTCTTTTTGGAATAATATTGTCAGGTAGTGATTGTCATGCATGTAGCAATCGGTCGCCATTTGTAAGTTATTACCCACTCGGGTCAAAGCTGAGACCCATCCAAATACCGTAATTAAACAAGTTCACTTGCATAACAGCACTAAGTTCATGTTAAAGTAGAACTTTTAATTGCGATTCCATTTGGAGACTTCGGAAAAGTAGCTAACTTCAATTTATTACCCGCCAACTTTAAATTACTAAATCAATTGCATGTAGGTATATCCTTATCTTAAAACTTAAGACTTAAAGTACCTGTTCCTGTTAGAAACATTTGTCACAGAGATAGCGTTTTGTTTTGTAAACGTTTCCAAAGTTCGAGGAGCGTTTTTTGACCACAATAACGTGGCTCCATCAGTATTCAAAGGGTACATTGCTTAAAATGCTTGTCACGAATAAGTCCGTTCATATTTTGGAAAAGTGAATGAAAGGTGGTATTGTATAAACAACTCAGGTGGACGACGTGCTTTGTAGATGTAGACGATCAGATAGACCCGCTTCCTGTCTTCATACTACAACCACAAGGAAAATAAGCTCTTAAATAAAAAAGGTTGTTCCTTGCTATGTACCTTTACACCCAGTAATAATTTTAAAGCACAGTAGCTACTTTTTTTTCTTACTTTTGTGTCTACTGTCCTCCCGTGATACATGGTTACAGCTTTATATTAAATTACGGAAAAACATAAATCAGCAAACAACAAAAGAAAAGAAACCCGAGTCAAAATCTTGTCTCAATGTTTAAGATCAAAACTTTAAAATTTTCAAACAAATGAATAAAAAACACCACTTATGTACTGAATCTTCTAGTTTTTGTGGATAAAAAAGAGAAGTCACTATTCCTACTTAATTTGATCATTATAAGAATAATAAAATTTGGCAAACAAATCAATTTTATAAAATATAAAGATGCATAGATACCCTTGCATGAAACTGATCAAAATTGGATGAAATAGAAGGTATTGGGATACAGGATCATCGATTTCTAAATTTCAATCGGGGCTTCTAGAGAAACGATCAACACAGAGAGGATTTTAGTTACTGTTTTTTGATAAAGAATCGTCGACTTCTACATTTCAATCACAATTTCCAGTGGAACGACGACACATACAGGATTGTAGCTACTGCTTTTTTGATACAACATCGTCCACTTCTATATTTCAATCGAGGTTTCCATTGCAACGACACCGTGACGATTATACTAGCTACAGCTTTTTGATACAGGATCGTCAATTTCGGAATTAGAGGTTTCTAGAGGAACGATCGACACAGAGAGGATTCCAGTTACTGTTTTTTCACACAGGATCGTCGATTTCTAAATTTTAATCGGGGCTTCTAGAGGAATGACACTGAGAGGATTGTATTAGCTATTGCTTTTTGATACAGGATTATCGACTTCTAAATTTCAATCGTGGTTTCCAGTGGAACGAAACTGAGAGGATGAAAGCTGCTGCTTTTTGGTACAAGATTGTCCACTTCTTAATGTGAATCGAGGTTTCCACTCGAATGACATAGAGACGATTGTATTAGCTATTGCTTTTTGATACAGGATCGTCGACATCTAAATGTCATTAGAAGATTCTATTGGAACGACACCGAGAGGATTCTAGCTATTGTTTTTTGATACAGGATCGTCGACTTCTAAATTTCAATCAAGGATTCCAGTGAAACGACACAGAAAGGATGGTAGCTACTGTTTCTTGATACAGAATCGGCGACTTCTAAATTTCAATCAAGGATTCCAGTGAAACGACACAGAAAGGATGGTAGCTACTGTTTCTTGATACAGAATCGGCGACTTCTAGATTTCAATCAAGGATTCCAGTGGAACGACACAGAAAGGATGGTAGCTACTGTTTCTTGATACAGAATCGGCGACTTCTATATTTCAATCGGGACTTCTAAAAAAAAGAATGACAGAGGATTGCAGCTACTGTTTGACGATATAGGATCGTTGACTTCTAAATTTCAATCAAGGATTCCAATGGAACGACACAGGAAGGATGGCAGCTACTGCTTCTTGATAGAGGGTCGGCAACTTCTAAATTTCAATCGGGGCTCCTAGAGGAATGACACAGAGAGGATTGCTGCTACTACTTTTGGTACAAGATCGTCGACTCCTAAATTTCAGTGGAGGTTTCCAGAGAAACAACACAGAGGGGATGTTAGCTACTGTTTTTTGATACAGGATCGTCGACATCTAAATTTTACTAGAAGTTTCTAGTGGAACGACAGCAAAAGGATTCTAGCTACTGTTTTTTGATTCAGGTCCGTCAACTTCTAAATTTCAATCGAGGTTTTCAGTGGAACGACACAGAGAGGATGGTAGCAATTTTTTAGTACAGGGTCGTCGATTTCCAAATTTCAATCAAGGTTTCTAGTGGAATAATACAGAGATGACCTATTTTCAGATACAGGATTTTCGGAAAAGATTTGTATGATGAGGAAGTCCTTATAGTTAGAGTGATGAAATAGTTCGTACCTATGGAATGAAAAAAAAAATGATTTGGGGACTGGTGAAGTGAATTTCAATCGATGTTCGAGGTTTCCAGTGGTAACGACATGAGGAGGGTGATAGGTAACCCCGTACAGGTGTTTGAAATAGAGCAAGATCAAGACGACGGTGGACGTCGCGGACCGCGTCGCCGACGCTGGGCCGCCTTGAGTGGGAGTATCGGCGGCGCGGAGGGTCGGGCCATGCGATATTGGGCCGGCGACCAAGTCACGTGCACCAGGCCACGCACGCGGCCAAATCCGCGGCTCCGCCTCCAGATTCTTCAGTCATTCAGCATCCTGCGATCAATGGCTGAGTGTCCGCGGCTTCTGTCACATGTGCTCGCGACCACGTAAAAAGATCCACCAAGACAAAAATTCACGAGCGACGTCGCGCGAGTGTCATGCGTCTTCTCAGTGAGTGAGAGTGGGTTGTTGGTTTATTGATGCACTGCAGTGTGTCCCGATCCTTGGTCGAGCTGGAGCACCCGGGGGGATTTGCCTCTTCGCCGTGGGCAGCGGTATTGGGCCACCATCATACGGCGGCCGCCGCTGCCGCAGCAGCCGCCGCCGGTGGTATCATGCACCAGGCGACAGAACACCATGGATACGCTCCCGCACACCACCCTGCCACTCCGATGGAATTGCACATGTCCCAGGCATTCCCTTATTACCGGTGAGTGACCAACTTTCTTCTTCTTCCTCCTCATCTTCTCGGTGAGAAATACCAAGCCACATGGGGGTAAACTGGTTGAAATCGTTTTTTCTTGTAGTGGAATCACCCCGTGCCACTTGTTGCTTATTTGCATCTGCCGACGACTTCTGCCACGTGATAAATTTACTCCTGTTGGGGCACGTGCAGGCTCAGCTTGATGTGGACGGGGTTAACTAGTTTTGTAGTCTTTCCGAAACGATCAGCATTTCTTTTGCTCTTTTTAATACACTTTCAAACGTTCATATTCATTTATCCAATATCCTTTCTCTATTCTATGGCACAATTTCCAATACTGTCCAAATCAGTATTCATGCCCAGGAGATATCAATGATCCTTAAAATGCTGCATATCCTGATTAACTCGGCGACATTTATTCTTTTATTAATATCTACAATACTGTCAGATGAAGAATTTCATGAAGTACGTAATCATTGAGGAGACATTCCTGACCTCATCCGAAGAATCTTGGAGAATCATTGAGTTTACATCTACGCTATGTCATCTTTAACAAAAGAGACCAAATTATTTAACACTGTTATGTCAGTTTCTCTCTCTTATCTCTACCTATATTAATGCTTCCGTTCTATCATTTAACAGCCCGGTTATAACTTAATTTAACGCCATTAGTGGGATACCCACTTGCTTCTTGACGCTACACATTTATAGGTGCCGTAAATAAAATTAAGATGTATTTGACGATTCACTTACTCCTTATCTAATTAGTTCCAAACTTGAGAAACATCTACAGGCAAAAGAAAAATATTTAACAAAAAATTTGTTACAGAGATGTGTGTAGCTTGTTTGTTACGCGGTCCAAAATAATTTCTCGAATTACAAGTGATATTTTCAATATTATTCTGTTTCGTAAGGAAGCCAATATTTTATGAGCAGTGACAAAGTATGCAAAATAAAACGGTGACAGTTCAAAGCATAACTGAATTATTTAACTTTCGTGAATTCTTCCAATCAGTTGTGAATCGGCAAAAATCAAACGTTTTTCATTGGTATTTAAATTTTGGTAAAGTAATTACGTCGGTAAACACGCAATCCTGTGTTCTCCGAACGAGGAGCTGGCCGCGGTCAGTTGGGACATGTGCTTCATTTGTCTTTCTAATGTTCAAACAAAATTATTAGTTACCCTTACTTTCTAATGACCGAGAGCCTCTACTGTTTAAGCAACAGCGGACTTCACTTCTTTTGTTTCAACATATCCTCTTCTTTTTCGTCTTCAAACAATATTTTACGACGCCGCGCCGCTAACGAACACAGTGGCGTTGTAATTATTTTTATTTATTTATTCAATTCTGACACACTATACCTCTCTATCTATTATGTATGCCAAGAATAAAGAAACTACGAAAAACACCCTGTGTAGAGGAGGAGTAAAATAGAAATCGAAAATGGCAATCAAGACGGCGCAGTGTAAACATTTGTTAGGTGTCAAAGGGCATCTGATAAATGAACATAACAGCGACTTTCTGTAAATAGTGAACAATTTCCCCCAGCTGACATGTATCCGGAAATTGCAGTCTATCTGGACGCGTCGGTCCCTTCGTTCTATATCGCACAATAGCTCGAGAAGGATTTAATAAAGTATTCTTTGATTGGCCGATATCAATGGTTTACTCCACTTGATTTCACTATCTGCTCCACGCTCCTTTTCCATTGATATGCATTGATTTTTTGCTGCACTAAAGCACACATTCCTTTCTCAATTTATAAAGGACCCCACGACGCCTACACGCACGATCTCCCTTATATATTACTACTCCATTTTCACTACGTGAATTTTAACTATTTAATTACACAGGCCAACATATATGGACCAGGCAATTACGACCAGAAGCCTTACAATTAGCACGTCAGGATTTCAAAATATCTTAATTTAAAATTTTACGAAATCCAATTTTTAGCCTTTTAAGAGAATTTGAATGACTTTTGTAAAATGTTCGTAATAGTAGTAATAATAATAATAATAATAATAGTGATAATCAATATGCATTTGGTTTCCCACAATATAAAGTAGATGCAACTAAATTTACAACGAATTTTGTCAAGGTTTCAAATTTCCTACAATCCTTCTAATATATTGACTCAAAAGACTACTCCTTTAGTTTTTAAACATTTTATAAGCAATAAAGTGCATTTTCTAAGCAGATTGATTTCAATTCAATTAGTAAATAATTAAACTGCTGGTATTCATTCCGATTTTAAATCCCAATATTTTCTTATCCGTATCGGAAGAGGAGGTATCATTAAAGTTCTTACTCGAAAAAGAGTCACTACGGTAAAAGTGCCATAAGCAGAAGCTATGCATTTTGATCAGCGCCTCCCGCGCCTATCATATTCATATTAGATGTGTATTTGTGGGGTAAGAATCAACCTGCTTTCTTTTGGTCGGATTTAACTCATGAATATGTTACAAATCCATGAGGAAGTTCGGGGTGCGAACGGCGGAGTCCCATAACCTTCAATACTTGTACATCGATATCCCCGTGCATTGTCTGCTTTTATGGTTACACTTAGATTAACTCCATTTGGCTTGTGCGTCATTCAACAAGAGACACCCTTTGCATATCCCATCGAATGATCCTTAATACGGAATGATGAAGCATTCATTGACTTTTTAATGTACATGCACATACCCATACCTACGCCTGAAAGGATTTAATTGTAAAACGTTTAATTCCTTCCCGTTTTATCGTGAGAAAAACGTTTTACTTTTAATTGGCTGTTCCGAATTCCAGAAAAACAAATCCAGGTAGTCTCCTCGTTACACATCTCGTAATAAACTGTTACAGTAATTATAATAAACACAAGACTATAAATTATTTTCTGCGAATGAATGAAGAAGACGACGTGTGTGAGTAAGCATTACGAACGGTGTGACCGCTTAATTACAACAAAAAATTTAATTGTTACCTAACTTTTTTAATAGACAGATTACTCAACAAATATTTTCTTTTTATTGTGTGAAAAATCGTCAGAGCGCTATGTAAGGTGTCAGAATATCCAAAGGAAGTAAAAAAAAACGTTTCACTTTTTAAGCCCAGCATTTTGTACATAAAAGGGCTAAATAATTATTTTTATTTGTAATTATATTATCAAACATAAATACTTTAAACGATATTGGTATTGTTTTAAGCACAATGCAATCGATTCGGTTTACTATGCAGCTTCTGTAGGCGAAAAACCATTGGTTTTACTAATATAAGGGATCAAATAAGAAGCCCAGAGGTCAAGGAATGTCTTCTTGACCATTCTGGTATCTGCTTAATCATTCTTGGTACATATTTCTCAGTTGTTAAATTATTTAGCATCAAATTTCATTCAAAGTTTAGGGATTGAAAAGTCAACTAACTTTTCCCAAGAGGAAAGGCAACGGTAACACATCATTTCCATTTTTGAAAAGAAAAGAAGTTTTCGAAAAAACGAAAATCTAACTTCGTCTTCGTCGTTGGTGATGTCAGATCGCCTAAATCCAGAAAATATAGATCCCGTTATCCTTATTGGCTCCCAAATATGAACTCAGCAGTAATATAGGAATACTGATCGAAGTTTCTCTTCAAAAGAGTAGGTTTGAGGAAGGTGAAATGTATTGTATGGTATGTACTTATAATTACGCAAAATTGGTCCAATACAGATAATGTCCATTATATGCACGAGACGCGAAACTGAAGATGGAAGCTTTCTGAGTGAATATTACAACGTGCCCCTTAAACTGTTACCCTATTCGTAGGGAAAATATTGCTTTTTTTCTTTTAATTACATATTTTTGTTACTGCTTTATAATGTGTTTGTTTTCTCAACAAATATGGCATAATCTCCAAAGTATTGCACATATTTTGATAAATTTTCGTCTTTTTCTCGTTTCATTGCCAAAATGTTTAAGAAAAACATGAAATTGTTGCAACATGTCCCAGTGTCCTCCCGTATGTACAAAATAATGAAGAGGACTTTATGAAAAGTCAGGTGGTTTATTAAAAATGAATTTCAACAAGGTGATAAGCCGCAGGGTGAAATCAAAGAAAATAGGAAATTAACTTTTGCGCTGATACGATGTTTTTGATTAATTCCTTTCGTGTAAGGGACGACGTAATAAACGAACGGTATCAAAATAAATCTTGGAGATAGGAAAAACGGGGAGGCGAAAATAACGTTCCTTCCCATTAAATTTATAACAAAAATCATCTGGCAGGAGTGAGAAAACGATTAATCTTCCAAGCAATTTAAAATGAGCTTAAACGGTGAACAGAACACCAATTTATTACTTTCATTAACTGCAAACGCAGTTAGTTCGCGTCACCAATAAAAAATATGCTAATAGCACCTTGTGTACAACTGTTTCCTTAATTTTTTCTCCTCCGAAAATAATTGAATGAGCTTCGAACGGCACCAGGGGGTGACGGTGTAAATGTAAGAGGCTAATATCTTTACAGACTGTGAAGGGTACATTCGGAATTTGCAAGTCTGATTTTTTTTCTCTTTCGTCTGAGGCATGTAGCTGATTATTTCCTTTAAAGAGAGCCACCATCCTGCGTAGGGGATGATGAAGAAACCGTTCTTCTTATCGATGTGATCTATTTGCATTCGCTTTGTATATCTACTTCCACCTCCACGGACTCCGCCATAGAATATATATATATACATATCTGGTAATTTAAATTTATGAGTTTTCCACTTTTTTTCCTGACGAGATTTTAAAAGCAATATGGTAATGTCTAATACGCGACATGCACCACCTTCTACTGCGCTTTTATTAACGTGTTGATCTTGCTTCCGGTTTTTTTAATGGCAAGGGTGAGTTCGGGGCTTCTCTTCTAAAGAGCTTACTTTATTAAGGGGTGCATGTATTAGACCTTACGACATTTTTTTTTTTCGCCTAATCCACTTAACTTTCTTTCCAAACTTCAAGTGGAAGTGATACCCAACATAAAAATTATTCTCGTTCAACTTTATAT